TTTTTAATTCACACAGTTACAATGTTCGGTGGTACATGGCACCATTACACGTACAAAAACTAATATTATTTCTCTTGCAAAGAGGTAGCAAAACTGTCAACTTACGTCTCGGAATACTTATATTATCCTTAGAATGTTTTGCTACGGTAAAAATTTATGTTGTATATTACGTGTAATATTTTGTGAATATTTATTTGTGATTTACGACATATAAGAGATATTTCACTATAGCTAACGAAGGCATCGGTATCCTATTTCACCTTTGTGTATTCCATGCAAGAGTGATGCGATTATATCCAACAGTAATTGTTATTTCCGTATAAAAGGTAAGTTTAAAAGTAAATTGATTGTATTATGTTCTGCAACTTTTTTGGGTAAAATTATCAAGAATATATGATGTTTCTTACTTTTGAAATCATAACGCGCGCTGTTTCTAACGTAAGTATACCGATCGATATGACTCAATTATGCTTAACAATTATGAAATATTTTTCATTTATACGTAATGTTAATTTGAATAAAAAAAACTTGAAACATTTTCACATTAAAACGAGTAAAACCCAAAACTTACACGAAATAATATATACCGTGTGTCTTACTAATTGTAAGTGTCCGCACTTCCATCCATTACACTGTTTGGATAGTCGACTCACAAATTTATAGTTTTCAGGTCCTAATAATCGACGTACATATTCAGACGCGTGTCGTTTCTCGCTAAGTGATGATCTACGTCAACCGGCATTTTAGCTTCAATCGTATTCTTCTGCTCTCGATTGGCTTATGGCCTTATGAAACGATCAAAATTTTTTCAGCTTCAGTTATCGTTGTTTTTTGGTATCTTGATTAGCTGTATTCCATGTACATACGTTCATTTTTTTAATCGTTGTTCTATTCTGGTAAATATCTGTAATAAGTATCCGTTCACGCTCTATATTTTTAAATATGATAAAAATAATTTAATGTTATGTTTACTGTTAACTTCGTCTTTGTCCATATAGCATCAATGCTTCGCTCGATTTATATTGATTTAAGGCTAAATTTGTTTAGCCTTAAAAAGAATTTAATCACGATAAAAATCAGTATTATGAGGTATGTTTTATATGCCTGGCGTTTTCGAAGTAACATAAAATTGATAATAAATATTGGTATAGAAGAATATTCTATGTACGCCTAAAGTTGAATATTATGATGAAGTATTAAGTTGTCATAATATATCACTTGAAAGCGATTGGCTGGATCAGAGTTAACATATAGCATAACATAAAATCTGTATTATATAATAATTCTTAATTTTTTATTACATTGTTGTGTTCAAAAGAAGGCAATTATTGCATTTTCTGTTAATTAACACACACTAATCAGGAAATGAAATTTTTTAATTTTTTAAGTAAATTTATTGATTGTAGCTTGTAGTATTTTTGACTGCAAAATGTATAACGCCTGATTTTGTCAAAGTTCTTTCTAACGCATTATTTTTTGCTATGTATGATGTGATTAATTACAATTCGTTCGTGATTAACGCTGAAACTGTAAGTTAAACTTTACTTGTTTATAAAAATATCTTCTTTAACATGTAACTATTTCGAAAATTTACAATGAGAAAAATATCAAAAAGTACGGTTGGCACTATAGGTGAACCGATTGTTGGAACAACTTTAACATATCTGTAACACGTACGTTAAAAGATGAGAACGAGATCGCTATTATAACAAAATATGGGAACATCGCGAAACGTCTTACAGCTATAATTATGTGTAAGACAACGTTTATTAATATTTAATAATTTACTCGTAATAACTCGAAATACATAGTTTATAATAGTTATAAAAGTCGCGTTAATCACTTTATTACTTAAGTTAATTTATTAAGAGACGTCATGTAATTAGAAATGTCAAAAGAAGAATAGAATAAAAGTGTAAGTGTCACAATATGTAAGAATTTTTGTTTCTAATTATATTATATTAAGAGTAAAAAAATAAATTTAATTGGTAACTGGATTGGTAACAGTACGATCATTAGCTCGCATTAATTAACAGTATAAATTAATTAATGCACAAAAAAAAATGTATAACAATATTACCTACAATTAGAAGAATAAGAAGCTATGTTTTAAAAAATTTGTTTTTTTTATTTAGTGTTTTATGTGTGCAACATAAGTACTACTTTGTTACTGACGATTTCACTGTATTTTCTTGATGCTGTCTTACTCGCAAATGAGTCTGAATCACATCGCGTTATGCAAAAAATTTTACCCAAGCTCTTCATCGGTCGAGAGAGCTATATATTATTGCACTTACTTAATATTGTTGCATTTTTTCGGAGCTGCCTGTACAGGAGTTACTGTGGCTGCGTTCGTCTTGACGCTTTCAACGCTGAAAGCATCGCTCTATCTTCGTTTGATGTTCAATGTGCAACAAAGCTAGAATGATGCTTACAGCGCTGAAAGCGTCAAGACGAACCTAGCCTGTATTGGTAGGAACAGAAATGAATCTTGTAACATACTCCAAACATGCCTGTGGAATGTTTAGAATTGCCAGGCGAGAAAATAAATGTAAAAATAAGTATAAAAATATTTTGATTGTAACCATAATCTTATTTGGTAGTTTTAACACCTACTTGATATTCAGTGAATAAAAGCAAACTTAATGAATTCGATCCCATTAGCAACAATCTACTGTGGGACTTGACCTTTAAGTATGAACCAACGTATGAACCTCACGCCTCCATAACTCCTCGATTGAGACGGTCATGCAACCATGCAAGTCCCCGCATTTTACATGTTTCTTCACGCGGTAAGAAAAAAAATTCCGTAAATCGTGACACAAGAATGTAAAGTTTCGAAAAACACGCGTTCAACCGTTGAGCATATCAAACGACGAAAAGCAAAATTCGTACTTAAAAATTAAAACACTTTTTTTTTACAGCCTTTTATCATTTGGCACAACAAGGATGACTGTTAAATTATTATGTCTTCGCGCGACATGTAAAAAAATTATGTGGAGAAAATAACAAAATGATTAATAAACAAATTATCTGATCTTATTACGTAAATTTTTTGGTCAAAGATCCTTTTGTTAATTTTTACGCGGAACTGTTTCCAGATTTATTTCAGATTTATCTAAAAGGAAAACGTAAGTTTGGTGGACATGCCGTTATATTCGTATATATTTGTATTATATAATTATACATATATCATATATATTGTATTATATAATTAACGAAAATGATCAACAAGAAAAATGATTCGTTAAAACTTTTGCATCATATCGCAAATGAAACCTGCAGGTGAGGCTAAAAAGAACGCGATTTTTTATGTGCTAAGTAAAAGTGAAAAATGTAGTATTTATTTTGTATGTGACGTAAATCTACTAAATGTTTTAATTAATGTTCTATTTAAACGGCCAGAATGCGGCGTATTTGAATACGGCATTTTTATGCGTTAATTGAAAGGAAATGTAGAGTTTATAGCATTTATTTTGCATGTAACGTGAATCTACCAAACGTTTTATTAATAATTAACATTTTATTTAAACGGCCGGAATGAATGCGACGCATTTGAATGCTGCCACACAAGATTTCAATTAACGTGCTGCAAAGGTGCCATTTCTCGTTGACGCTCGACGCTCATTTTCGGCCAGAGGTTACAATTTGTAAGGAAATAATTCATGCCGTAGACATTCATAGCAAAACTGTCAAGTTAGTATTTAACTAACAATAGTTATATAAATACATGTATTAATTTTTTCTTTTTATTAAAAATTTTGTACACATTTGTTCTCCACCTTACAGATATTACTATTCTCTTTGATAGTAATTAATGTGATTTGTTTGAGTCTCAATCTTTATAAAGTGAGTTCTTACATTATTAGATATATATTATGCATTTTTAGATGACCGTTTTGATTTTGATTTTATAATGTCATGATTATAGAAAAATCGTTTGCAATATATGTCTCAATTGAAAGGATTTCGTTGTATATAATAATTTATGTCTGAAATCTCTTGTAAAATATACATAAAATATAAATTGCTATGCATGTGTTTTAGGTATCTGAAACCATGTCACGTGAGGGCGATAGCGAACAATGTTACATTCATTTTGTAATTATACGTTTGCAATTTTTGCATTCTTGTTTATAGCTAATTTTAACGGACAAGAAATTATCGATTACATTAATCACGTATTTTTTACCGCGTAAGATGTACTGTACTCACAAATGTATATGAATAAATTAATTGGGTACGGAAAGATAAGTTAAAATTAGTTTTAGAATTAGCTTAGAATCCGCTTACTCATAGCGATGATTGATAAGTTACTTGATCTTTTCAAATTTTTGATTGGTTGCCTAACTATTACTTTGTAGATACAATGGTAGTATATGTAACACCTTGGCACGTACACTTGGTACGTAACACCTTGGCAAAGTTTGATATTATTTCTTTTGCAAAATAGCTGCAAAACTTTTCACGTACGTGTTTCTTGGTGGAGTGTTGTCACTTTTTATCGAACTTCTCGCCACGGTAAAAAAAATCACTCTATATCGTTGCGTTTAATATATTGTGTATATTTGATATACGGCACAGATAGTATCGTGTGACACATTGCATTCTAGTTAACAAAGGCATCATTATCCTACTTCACCGTTGTATATTTTATCTATGCAACAGTGACATAAAACATATCATCTGGCAGCGTATTACAATTTGCAGTAGAATAGGTAAGATTTAAAACAAGTAAACATGTGGTGCGTATAAAATATCAATTGTATATGTTATGTGTACAATATATATGAAAGAAATTTATTAACACTTCTTTACATGATTTTCGAGAATGTTTAAATCTCTTAGATACCACTAGTATGGATATTTCTTTAACTTGCAGCTTGCGATATTCCGAATTTGATTAACAATAATTAGATACTTAAGCGGGGAACATAGACTTTTGCATAATGCATAAGCATATAAGAAAATTGATTGGTCTATTTTCTTATGCACAGTTATATGGACCAATCAATTTTCTTATGCATAAGAAATTTGATTGGTCCATATAACTGTGCATAAGAAAATAGACCAATAAATTTCCTTATGCTTACGTATTATGTATTATGCAAAAGTCTGTGCTTCCCGCTTTAACATGTTAGTGCGTAACGCCAGTAGTGATGTTCCTCTTGGCCAATAAGCGTATACGTGTCATTTAAAAGTAGACAATGAAGTGTGAAGCCGGCGCGTGAAACGGCCATCGCGCGTCGTGAGAAAGGGCAACTGCCATGCGTTTGCGCGGACTTCGATTAAAATATTATCAGTGTTGTGGGAAACAAAAGTTTGTTGAATGTCTGTTGGCGACGTTAGCTTCAAGTCAATCGATTGCCCGTTCCTTTCCGGCAGAAACATTAATTCGCGAGTGTTTTGATTTGACGGTAGTATTTTTTCTACCACCTCACAGTGTACCTCTCTGCTGAATAAGGCAATTTAAAAATTTAAAAATTAATACTAGGAAAATTTAAAATTTAAATACTTATATCTTGTGAAAAAAAAAGAAATGCTCATCGATTTCTTCTTGTGTTAATCAGACGTGTGTCGCATAGTAATGATCAGTGTCGCGCAGCATTTTAGATATCAGCGGATTCTTCTTCTTGCACTTGGCTTATGGCCTTATCAGCAATCCAAACTTGTACAGTTTCAGCTGATGTTATTTTTCAGTATTATTATCAGCTTTATTGTGTCCCAGGTACATTTAAATTCGTAAACATATTTGTAATTATATTATAATTTTTTTACTTTGGTTTTTGCAATTAAAAATTCTATTTTGAATACAATTTCACGATCGTGTGTCCATCTGATGTACTTGTGTTTGTTATTTACATAATCTTTTCGATATAGTTTATCCATTTTGCGAAAGAGTATATTATTATACAATTGCTATAATATATGATAAGAGCTAGTTACACGAAAAGAACGGTTTTGCTGAAGTATCTAAAAATTTAGCAAGATACAGGTCTGAAAACAATTTTGTTGCCATCAAAATAATTATAGTAGGTCGCTGAAGTATGATGATGCTGCAAAAAATTTTGACATTTCAGCAATCAGTTTTATTTTGATGGCGTAACAAAATTATTTTGTCAGATCTGTATCTAGCTAAATTTTTAGATACTTCAGCAAAACCGTTCATTCCGTGATATGAATTGCTCATTACATTTTTATAGTATATGGAAAAATAATCGGCTATTTTATATCTGCAGTTAAGTTAATCGCGTAAAAAAGACTTTTTTTAAATTAAAAATTATTTCTTTTAAATAAATCTATAAATATCGATTGTATAGTTTGCAGTGTTTGTGTCTGCCAAATGCACTATCGATACCGCTATCAAGGTTCTCTCAACCGCATTAATTTTTATTATGTATCCAATTCCATACAACTCGTTTCGAATTAACTATCAAATTGTAAGTTGGTCTTTTGCTTTATGCAATTAAATAATGTAAATAATATAAAATAAAAATTTTTGATAAACCAGACTTTATACAAAATAGCTTCTTCCCAAATTTCCAACAAGACTAATCAAAAAATAAAATAAAATGTTGATACCAAAGGTGAAGCGATTATTGGAAGAGCTTCAACACATCTGTGACGGACTAGAAGATGAGAACGAAATAGCTATCATCAAGAAATATGGAAACAAAGCGAAGCGTCTTACGGGCATAATTATATGTAAGACAATGTCTCTTGATATTTGATACATATTGCAAAAGATTACAATTTTAATTAAATACATTTATTTAATCATTTTTACTTATTCTAAATAAGTCCACAGATATCATATTTTGAAATAAAAAAAAATATAATTAAACATATAATGATCAAATGTTTTAGGATGATCATATTTTGACAAAGTTTTATATAATTCCGTTATCAATAAGTCAACTGAATATGTATGTAACTAAATGTGTTGATAAAGAAGAGATACCAAATTATTTCCTAGATTTAAGAAATTATTAAAAAATATATATTGCCAACGTGAGATAATCGTAAATATGACTAAAATATTTGGACATTGGCTAAATCTTAAAATTGGCAAAATTAGTATAAATTTTGACGCAATTTTATAATGTAAAGCAACAGTTCATTAATATTTTTATTATTTTTGCTATTAAAAACTACTTATATTTTTTAAGGAATAGATTTTATAAGGTAAAATTATTAATCATTGTGAGAAGTGTACTCGGTCAC